GACCTTGGAGTAAACTTGAGAAAAGGTCTGTAGTTTTTAACTTCTTGAGCAACATACCAGATGTTAGACTTCCTAGTAGATACAGCCAAGCCTTTTATATATATGGTTGGAGAATACTGTCTTACTGTGGTTCAGACCTCTTATTTCCCATATAATCTTCCTGACTTCCTTTTCAGTCTTCAGATCTAATGTTGTCCTCTTGCTTACTTAAACATTAATTCTCTTGATTGATCTTTCTATTATTTTTATTTGGGTGGTTCGATTGTTTTACCTTCTCTCCTGACAAGTGACCATAAACTTGGCTGTATAGCATGTCAAGGCAACTCTTTAACTTAGGTAACTTGATATCATAAAATCAGCACTATGTTAATATCTAAAACAGTGAGATTGTGGATCATATAAGCCCATGTAAAAAGTATGTGTAAGTTACATTTTGGCCCTGTTCTTTCTGATAAACTGCTTTACCTAAATCTTGACTGGAAATTTTAGTTGGAGTCTCCAGGTATCTTTCCTTAACCAGTATTTGCTAGATTTCTTAGGAAGTTGAAGATATTAAAAGAAAATAAAAAACATGGATTAAAAAGTACTTATCATATCTAAATGAATGGATTAAGCTATTAAATAATGAAAACATATATTTGTATGTCAAGGTATAGATATATAGATAAAAACTCAGTATAGATCTGTAACACCATTAAATTCTTCTTCATTGAGATATTGGTGGAGCCATTAGCCAGATGTTATAGAAAATTGTGTACTGGTCCTATTTTAGTAATTTCTAAGGATGTGATTAAAATAAACATGGAACTTTGGAGTCAAACATGGGTTTGAGTCCTAGAATTGCTTCTTAGTTGTTGAGTGATGTTTGGGAAGTCATTTAATTACTTTGCTTGTCAATTTGTTTACCTGTAAACAATTTTCTGAATAGCTAAAATTAAAAAGACTGGCAATATCAAGTGCTGACAATGATTTGGAGCAATTGGGACTGTAATACTTTGCTGGAGGAATGCCAAATGGAAGAGCCACTTTGCACAGCAGTTTTTTAAACCATTGAATATACTTTTACCCTAAGACCTAGCTATTACATACCTAGGTATATTCTTAAGAGAAATGAAAACATATGGTTACACAAATACTTACATGTGGATGTTTTTATCAACTTTATTCATAATCATCAAAACCTGGAAACAACTGATATGTTCATCAACTAATGAATGGATAAGCAAATTGTGATATATCTGTACAATAACAAGAAGGGACTACTGATATGTGCAACAAAATGGTTAAATATCATAATATTTATGCTAAGTGAAAGAAGCCAGATACAAAAGGCTACAAAGTATACGATTCCATTTATAGTGATATTCTGGCAAAAGCAAAGCTATAGGAACATAAATTAGATAAGTAGTTGCCATTGTTCTGGAAGTAGGTAAAAGGGATTGACTCCAAAGGGGAAAGAGGGAATACTTTGGGGTGAGGAAACTTTTCTATATCTTGTTTGTATTGGTGGTTATATGACTATACATTTGTCAAAATGATGAATTTTACTGTATGTGAAATCATATGTCAGTACAAAGAAAAGAAAAAAATAAGGTGGTTATGGAAATGATAAAAGATCACTATCTCCTCCAGTTTTTCTTCTGTTTGGTTCTTCATTGTTCTCTGCATCTGCTAGGACTCTCATAAATTTAAGGTGCATGATGAATTTCGATTTCTTATTTCAGGGCTGAGATACTAGATACTTTATCTACTTTATGAGATACTAGATACTTTATCTGTCATGATCTGCAGTCCCTGAGTCAGATTTTAAATCAAGTCATCAACTGGATTCTTATAGTTCTGGATGTTCCAATTAGTACTGAATAACTTAGATCTGGAATTTGCATACTCTGTAAGATATACCAAATTTACCTGCTTCAGCTGGATTCCTTATGTCTGTCCCGTGGCAATGAGAGTGCACAATATGATTGGGAAGGTGTGTAAAGCAGTCTTGAGATGGGTTCACTTCCACTACAGCTTTCAGCTCATCATTATTCGCTTTGGTCTCATTTTCAAGATTAAAGTCACCAGAACTGAACTTCTCTAACCATCGATGTACTGTACGTTCATTAGCCACATCCTTACCAGATACTTCGTTGATATTTCGGACTGTCTGTGCTGCATTGGTTCCACAATGGAACTCATATTCAAAAATAACACAAATTTTTGACTTATCCATGGTTTCACAAAAGTTGCAAAAGATTTGAAAGATAATCACAAGCCAAAATGTGCATTTGAAAGACTGAAGATGTACCTTCATGATAATGATAAAACTTTAAAAAGAAGTGTCAAATTGAAATGTCAGAGATGTCAACTGTCAAACTCAGTACTTAAGGAAATGGGACATTCCATACTTAACCTAATAAATAGTCCCTGTGTCCTCACACTTAAGTTTCATGATTGTATCCTATTTTTTTCCCCAAGGACAATAGTAATTTTCAGTGAATGACATCAAAGTACCATAAACTGCATACTTTGAAACAGTCTAGGATGTGTGAATGACTGATTTCAAGTGAACAAATATAAATCATGCTCTTGTGTCAAATACTTCCCTAGATCAAGAAAGAAGTAGCACTAATAATTTTAATAGTACTAGGTGTAAAGAGAACATGAGTAAAATTTAGAGTTTTAAAAACATTTTAGAAGTGTTGCATTTTAAAGAAATCACAGATTATTTCATCTTCCCAAATGCTAAGGCAGATTATTGAGGGCTATATATATAAATTTGTTCAGAATTCCTAATATGTTAAAGTTGCTGTAGAGTATATTGTGCTATAATGATATCTGCTGATTTTTCTCTATGATAGATTAAATACAGTATATTATACTTAGAGCTGATGTCCCCTTATCCCTCTACCACCACCCCACTGATTATCGAGAGTCTTTAGAGAAAATAGCTCATTGCACTGGATGATTACATGCCTCCATTGAATAGTAGCTTGCTGCAATTATTATTACAATGGCATATTGATTTTTTTTCTCATTTCCATTATGGAAATTAAAGCAGAATTTGTTTATAATGAGCTTCTGTATATATTGTGGATGTGATTGTTTCTCAATATGAGCTATTTTTTTAATATATATTCTTCAGCAATCTGATGTCTCTGATATTTTGTCAGAAATTTAGGTCTCTTCCTGTTGATAAGCTTTACCTTAGGGAGATATGAAATGGATAGTTTGGGGGCTAGAATGGAAATATAGATGCGGTTTAAATATATAGAGTATAGATTTTAATTATTGCTTCACAGAAGTCCGCAATATATTGACTTATGTTTATGAAGTTCTTGGGCAGTATGAGAATACTTATTCTCTTAACCATTCAAGCAAGTAAATTTAATTAAAATTAAATTAGCAAATATTTATTTAATGTTGACGACATATAAATATTTATTTAGCAAATATATATAAGGCACTTTGCAAAGCACTATGGAAGGTAGAAAGATGAATAAAAAATTATAACTGTCTTTACAGAATTTACCGTCCAGAGTGGGTGGGTAAGACGTGTGGGAAGAATCATAACGTCAAGGAATAAGAGATAAAGATTACATGGGGGTTTGAAAGAAAACCTTTTTTTTTTTTTTTTTGGTTGGAGAAGAAAAACATTAATGGTTTAAAACAGCCCACTTGAGACTTGGAGGTTTGGAGAGATGATGTTGGGATTACCTTCTGGGAAGAAAGAATAAATGAGCTAACACAAGGAAGTGCAGGGAGAACTTCAGGAATGGTAATTTACCTGGTTTTATTGGTGCTTGTGCTTTAATGCCTGAGGCTAGAAAGGTAGATTGAGTCTAGGTCAGAACATTGGGCCATTAAGTAGTCAAGGGGAAATATTTGGATAGAAGATTGTGGTTGAAGGCAATTTACTCTGGCATTTGGTAAAATGAATAAAAGACAAAAATGAAGCTGTGGAGACACCATTTGGGAAGCTCCAGGCATATTAAAGGAAAGGTAACTAGGGCTAAACTAGAATATTAGCATAGACACTGAAAAGGAAGAGCAGGAATTTATGGGGGAGTCTTTCTAGAAGTAGAATATTCATGACCGGATGCCAGAAAGTCAAATCAAGCTCCCTGTGATCAGTCTTCCAGCCTGCTAATATATATGGAACTTTATCTCCAGCTAATCTCCCAAGCCTGCTTACTTAACTCCTGCCACATTGGTCTCCTCACAGTTCCTGTAGCATTCCAATTATACTAGGTAACATCTTAGAACCAAGTTTGTCCTTAATCCTTCTACTGGAAAAATTACTTTCTTCAGGTCTCTGCTCAAATACCACCTTATCAAAGAATCTTTCCCTGATCACACATGGTAGGAGTAGCATCTTGTCGCTCCTTTTATTCTTCTTCCCAGGGTTTATTTTTCATAACTGCATCAAAACACTGACATTTAATATATAGTTATTTCTTTATCATCACTCTCTTTCTTTCTAGACACCCAGCTCCATGAGGGTACAGGCTTAGTTTTGTTGCCTTTTATATCTCTATCACCTAGAACATGCTTGGTACTTAGTAGACATTCAACAAATATTTGTTGAACGAATAAACAAAGTAAGTGCAAAGGTGAAAGTGATGGGGGATGGAAAAATTATGCCAGTATTTCAAGTCTGAAGTATTCAAAGAGATAACTATGGAAGAGTGGAGGAGGAGTTGATTTAGGGAAGTAGAGACAGGGGAAGGTAAATTCAGCTTATAAATTGAACCTTAAGTATATGATGCTGGTTAAATAACCAAGGCAGAGCTGTGTAATGAGGCAATCGAAAATGTGGAGAAGACTGGTATTTAGGTAAAGATCACTGAGTTATCTTCATCAAGTCAATACTTAAAGCAATGGGAGTAGAAACAAGAATGATAAGTGATATTAAGACAGACTTATATGATTTGAAAACCATAACTTGATTTTGGATATTTAATATTTTAAATATATAAACTTATTTATACTTTTTTTGTTTATTTATTTCTTAGCTGGGTTAACAACTTTGGCCATGAAGGTCTTGGACTCTTACTGGATGTGCTGGAAAAACTTCTGGACAAAAAACAGTAAGAATAAACATTAAGAATAAAATCACCAAAGGGGAAATTTTTAGGTACAACATAATATGTTTTTTTCTTTTACTTAGGCAAGAAAATATCGACAAGAAGAATCAGTATAAACTTATTCAGTGCCTCAAAGCATTTATGAATAATAAGGTAAGTAGTATTTATTTCTGCCTTTGTCATAAAAGGTGAGAACTTGCCTTACAGTATGAAAATATGAAACAGACAAAATAGTGGGTGTTTATCCAGTTTACAAAAGAGTCTTTATGATCCAAATAATAAATTTCATTTAAATATTATTTATAATATACTTTGCTTCACAAATATTTTTGGTGGGTTTTTTGCAGTTATGCAAATGTATTAGTCTTATTCACACTTTAGGTATTATATGGGATTCTGTGAATTTTTAAACAATGATTTTTCTTTTAAAAATAGTTTGTGCTCAGGTTATGAAATTATAGTAATTTTTTCTATAAACTATTTTTTGTTACTGTCTTAGAAATGATCTGCTATATACCTAGGGATAAAATACCATTGACTAATTTACTTAATTACATAATTCTCTTGACATGGTGTTTTATAATAATAATCTCAAAATATTTAGTAGAAATAAATACCACAATAACCAGAAGTTTGCCAAGTGTGAAATATAGCTATTAATAACCAATGCAGTAAGATTGTGTGTTAAAGTAATCTGCAGTCTTTCTTAAGCATATGGAATTATATGTAAAAATTCACGTATTCTATTCACACGTATCAGCAAAGAATATCATCAACATGTGCAATGGTTGCTTGCTTGTGGACATAAGACTCCCGCATAGAATATTCTGGTAGTGCTGTCTGGAACTTTCCTACAGAAACACTCCCATCAGTACAATAATAGTATAGAATTTCTCAACTTCTGTGCTCTTAGTCTTTGGCTACAAAATTATGCAGAATCTGTTGCCTTATAGGAAAGTACTTAATGAACATTGCTTCTCCGCAGCTCAACATGGGTCTTTTTCTTCAACTGAGGGAAACAGTGACATAATGGAAAGAGAACAGTACTAGAAATCAGGAGATACAGTTCATGCTTTGCCACTAATAAGCTGAGTGACCTTTGGAAAATTACTTGACTTTTCTGGTTATCAGTCCCCTCATCTGTAAATTTAGCTATGGGACCCTTTGTTCTAAATTCTTTTTGACTTGTGTTGTCAACTATCACAGCTGTTCAGGATGCTAAGTAATTGTAATCAGAATAGTCACTGGAGAAAGTTATATTAGTGAGATTTCCTATAAAACCTCTTTCACAGGAGATACTTTAATATGTCAACACATAGTTTCTTAAGTGTTTGGCAGTTTTGAAGAGCGTGATGATTTGACTTAGGTTATTCTAAATTAAGGGTGAGTTTTAGGTCATATTAATGTCTTATAAATAGCTGCTCAGAACATGAATAAATAGATCTTTTATAGACATGTGGAACAATAGGCATAAAATATGCATTTCAAATAGAAAATAAACAGTTATTTATCTATTTCAGGTTGGAATAAATTGTCCAAATCAAGGAATCAAACTTTCATTTGAAATGACTTACAAATCAAATATTTTTGGCCCCATGGAATTTAGAGATTACCTACTTCAAAAACTCTTTTCACTTATCCAGTGCATATAATAATAGGATTGTAAAAAGCAACCCATTGTTTCTTAACTTCCATTACTTTAATATTGCTCTGATGTTTGGATCAGTAGTTTTCCAAATACATTTCTCATGTCTTCGTTTTTATTTTCAGTATGCCCCTACATATTAAAAATTACTTTTAAACATTAAATAAAACTTTGAAACGTTAAATGATTTCACTCTCAGTCTAACTGATTCTTAAAGTTGTAATTTTAAGTTTGGTAATTGCATGGTAATCATCCATCTCTCAGTTTTACAAATGTGTTTTTCACTTACATTCCTTACTTTTTATTATCTACTGGCCACCTCTATACATATTTACCTCTTTTGTTTTCTTTGCTTCTTTCCTATCTTGTCTCATTTTCTTTTGCTTTTTTTTTTTGGTGTTATCTTATCTCCACATATTTTCTAACTTATTATGACCTATGGTAAAGTCACATTTAAGAGCTTTAGCTGTGTTCCCCATCTGCCCCTCCAAATTCTTTTACAAGTTAAATTAGGAAGCATGGAACTATTCATATGTTTGGTACTTATGTAAAGGTCAGCTTGTAATGGACATTTTGCTTTTATGAAATGTTGTCAGATTTCACTATTAGACTATGAAACAAAGCAAACATATTTTATAAGAAATCTGAGAAATACTCTGTGGAACCAAGATCAATGAAAATATTGCCCTCTTAATGTAATGGAAACCCAAGTTTTAGGCTTTATTTAGCATTTCTTTATTTATTTACTAGAATTTGCACATGCATATGTGTGCATGCACACACATATTCATGCCTAGAAAATAAAATGGTATTTTCTCCGCCTATTGACTTGTCACCCTTAATAAAACCCAGGTGCCATTTCTTTGTGTTCATAGCTTTTGTAATGCAGCACAGCTGCCTGAAATGGGGAGCATAGGAGTGAGAAGTTATGGGAAAATCCATAACAAGGTTTATTGCTGCTTTAAGTGGAATATAGTATACACAAGAATTTTTTTTAAACATTTTCCCCTATTTGTTCACCTTAATTTTCTATACAAACATATTGGACAATTTAACCATGAATTCCAGGCATCTCCAGGGAGACCCAATGACATAGAATTACTTTAGAAAATCATATCAGTATGTGCTTTACATGTTCTTTGTTGAAGAAATACTGATTGTTCCCATATTTTTAGGGCAGTATAATGGAGATCATATTTGATTAAGGGGAAAAAACTCCAAGATGCAGTCATTTCAAGTAAAAAACAAAGGCAATTATTTAATAACTGCATTTGATGACCATTCATATAATTAGGTAGAACCTCATTGTGGAGGTATGGGTGTTTGGAAGGTCATTGTAAATTGCTTTTTAAAATTAAAGCTATGTTTTACAGACATTTTGAATGGAGGTTTTTTTTTACTTTCTCTCTTTAGTTTGGATTGCAAAGGATTCTAGGAGATGAAAGAAGCCTTTTACTATTGGCAAGAGCAATTGACCCCAAACAACCCAACATGATGACTGAAATAGTAAAAATACTTTCTGCTATTTGCATTGTTGGAGAAGAGAACATGTAAGTATTGCTATATTGTTATATCTGCTGCACGGGAAATGACACTTGAGAAATTAATAAGTCCTATTTTTATTCTGTTTTTTATGGATAACTTGCATGAAAACAAAATTAGATTTTAGAAAATTTTGATTAACATTTTCATCCTATCTATTTATATTTTGGCTTTTTTGTTGATATTCTGAAAACTGGGTTTAAACAGAATCTTAATGGGAAATTGTTCAAAGTTGGATTCAAAGTGAGTCAATAGATTTTTGTTTTGTTGAATGTAAAGCAATTGTTAGAAAAGTGGGCAAAAGTCAAAGAGTTATTTTGGCAAATGCACACATGTGCACACACACGGCTACACATCATACAATTTGGCTTCTTTAACTATTTGAATTGACTGAAGGCCTTTAGTTTATACTATTTTATATTATTATTTTACAATAGCATTTTGCTTTATCTGCCTATGGTAAATGCAAAGATGAAGTAATTATTTGTAGGGTGAAATAAACTAACTTGTTAAAAAGAAAGAAAAAAGGTTGTTGCTAATTATTCAGAGTGTATATATGTGCCAAATTCAGCAAGTTGTTGTGGAACATGCATAAGGTCATATCTTAGGGAAATAATATTGAATAAGAAGCAAAATTTCAAATTGTATATCATTAATAAGTTCAATTTGTAAGAAACCATTGTGATAAAAAATGAAATATGTTCTAAGGACATGAACTAAAATATTTCTTTGGAATACTTTGTCTGCCAGTAATAATTTCAGTTTGAATCAGGCCAGGGCCATCTGAAAATTTAATAATGTTCTAATATATTGACTTTCTCCTAACTTAAAATAAAATGAGATGTTGTTTAGTGTTAGTGACTATACTTAGAAACCGAAAGACAAACACTAAATGAAAATATCGTCATATAGCGTTCAGTCTTATCCCAATGAGAACAAACTGAGAATGAGATAACATATACGAAAGTAAGGTTTTGTAAGCTTTTATAGAAAAATCAATTTATATATGAGTAAGAAATTTTTTAGTCAATTAGATTTTCAATACTTAATTCATAAAATACAGTCTAGCCTGGGAAAATTGTTGTGATTTAATTACAATTTCAGATATCATTTGATAAAAATAATATGCATAGAGGTAATTTGATTTAGATATTTGTATGTACTTATCAGTATTTTTGTTCAGGTACATAAGTTTCTTGTGCTAGATCATCATAGATTCTTCTTTAATTAAATGGACTTTCTCTGTTACATATTTTTTTTCTTATTCCATTATCAAAAAATGTTGAAGTTTTAGGTCATTTATCAAATATTCACTCCAGCAATTTATTATAAAGTTAGTCTGTTTATACTAAACAGACTAATAGACTAAACTAGTCTGTTTATACTAAACTAACAGACTAAACTAGTCTGTTTATACTAAACAGACTAAACAGGTGCCATATTATGTTTAAGTGATATTAATATGTTAATACAGGAAATATCAAAACCTAAAGATTTAAATTTTAGTGTTTATCAGTTAAGTATTCTTTTCAAAATGTCACCCAGAAACATTATTTTAAAGGTTTTTTAAATTGAATTTTCATTTGATGCCCTAAAATTATTTAAAGCTATTGATATTTGACTTATAGAACTATGTGGATAGGAACACAATTCTTGTAATGGTCTTTCAGTTAGACAGGAGGAATAAGTTCAGAGAGCTATTGTACAGAATGGTGACTGTCGTTAGTAACAATATATTGTATACTTGAAAACTCCTGAGAGAGTAGATTTTAAGTGTTCTCAGCACGGAAAAGTATGTACCATGTTGCAGTTGGTTTCTAAAAAAGACAGTATAAAAGTATGTGAGGTCATTTGTATGTTAATTAGTTTGATTTAGCCAGTTCATTATGTATACATATTTTAAAACATATGCAATTTTTATTTGTCTATTAAGAATAATAATTTAAGAAATATAAACATCAACCACCTGAAGAAAAAACAACAGGAAAGACTGAAAGGAATAACCCATGCTCATAATATATGTGTAAGAAATATTTCTCATTTATTTCTTTTTTTGTGTGTCTCTACAGTCTAGATAAACTTTTAGGGGCTATAACTACAGCAGCAGAAAGAAATAATAGGGAACGATTTTCACCAATTGTGGAAGGATTAGAAAATCATGAAGCTTTGCAATTACAGGTGAGTTCATTTTGTCTTAAATTGCTTATAGAGTTAATTTAGAGTACTCCTTTTGTTTGACAACTCCATTTTAACTGGCATTTATATCGTATGGAATGTAAAAATCAAATTCTTCCTGTTGCTAGAAGTTTTGTTTGTGAGAATAACTATTTGTTTAAAATTGTGAAAAATGCTTGAATTATTATAAATATGAGTTATGATTGTCATTGATGTTTGAGTAGGAATTTAGTAATTAATGTAATAGATCAGGGAAATTGAAACCTTAGCAATAATTGGGGCAATAGGGCAAGCAATTCAGCCAATGCCATTATCCTAACAAGTTTTAATGAAGTCTGTGAGCTTGTAGAAATTTAAGAAAATTAAACACATCTCATTTTATGCCATTCAGATGACATTCAAAGGTCTGACTCACCAGAATAGAGGGGATTGAATTGCAACTCTTAGGTCAGTGTCCATCTGATAACCCTATGTAGACATAGCCTGTATGTCTTCTTTAGAAAATGACAAAACTCACTTTTTTTCTTAGTTGATTTTAGGAAATGAGTCATTTTATGAACAATAACTTTGTTCCCGAGGAATGAGAACTTATATTTATTTGCCATATTTATAGTATGAGGTTCTGGACTAAGCATATTAATTTGCATGTGTTATTTGATTTAATTCTCAAAACCCAGCTATGATGTAGATATTACTGTATTATCATCTCCATTTTGCTTATATGACAAATAAGCTAAGTGAGATTAAATAACTCGTCTAAGGTGACAGAATTTGATGCTAAGTTTTTTGATCTCTCGTGCTTATGTCTTTATTTTAGACAGTATATACCATTTAATGTAGCACGGAAAGCTCTCTCTAAAATATTTTTTAAGCTCTTGTATTGTTCCACAAAGAGAACATGGTTCCACATTTAATTTTATCAAGTTCTTTAGTAGTGTTTAAATATTAACATTTCTTATCTGATGTGAAACAAGCACAATTTTTTCCTTTTTTATTGTATTATGAAGTATTAGTATCTTTTTTCACCAGAGTTTGAAACTGCATCAGATAGATGAATTGGCTTGTCTAAAAATAAGCTGTGATGTTACAAAACTATAATACCTCTCTAAATGTTTGAGGATCTTTGTTAATTACTACTTCCACTCCACCTATAATGAGCATTTTGAACTAACTTTTATCATGTGCCTTTCATGTCAAATGTGTTATATATTTTTTTGAATTAGGATATTTCTTTCCAGTGTTTTCTTTTTTATAATACAGTTGTTATAAAATTTAATTTTTTTTTTAATAGGCAGATTCTCACTCTGTTGCCCAGGCTAGAGTGCCATGGCATCAGCCTAGCTCACGGCAACCTCAAATTCCTGGGCTTAAGCAATCCTTCTGTCTAAGCTTCCCAAGTAGCTGGTACTACAGGCATGCGCCACCATGCCTGGCTAATTTTTTCTATCTATTTTTAGCTGGCCAATTAATTTCTTCCTATTTTTTAGTAAAGACGGGGGTCTCGCTCTTGCTCAGGCTGGCTTCGAACTCCTGACCTTGATCGATCCTCCGGCCTCAGCTTCCCAGAGTGCTAGGATTACATGTGTAAACCACCGTGCCTGGCCATAAAATTTAATCTTAATAAAGATTCAACACTGTCTTTTTTAGATGACTTCTTGAAAATTTTGTTCTTGTTCCTATGGTTGGACTTACCTAACTAAATTTCATTGGCTTTTAGATATATGTATAAATTTGTACTTCTCTTGCAAATTTTGTTTAGGAGGAATTAAATATTTTATTTATATTCAAAGCTTTCATTATGTTTTATACTTAGTTTGCCGTATTTGTGCCAAGTATATTTATATTTTTTAAAAAATCTTCTTTAAATGAATTTTTAGCCACAACTCTGTGAGTTATGTATCATTATTGCCAGCTTTCTGATCAGGGAATTATTGATTTGCTTGAAGGCTGAGTAACCTGCTCAAAATTGCACAGCTGTTAAGTGGAAGAGCTATGATTTGAACCCAGGTCTTTGTGATGTCAGTATTTGTATACTGCATTGTCTGTCCTTTAAAGTGACACCTCTGCCAAAAAGTAGTTCACCCCAGACAATGGAGTAGAATTGACATTTGCCAACCTGAAGTAAGCTGGACAGAATGGAATGATGAAGTGGCAAGTTGTGAACATGTAACTTATGGAAGAAACATTGACATGATTCTAAGTATTCAAGAAATTGTTGAATACTGATCATAGATGCAAACATGCAACCTACAATTTGAAATTTCATGTTTTAATGAACTACAAAAATTAGTAATTTGTTATATACAGAGGCTAGTACTCTTACATGAATTGTGAAGTGGGTTTGTTTATTTGGACTATTTAATGTGAATGAAAAACATATCCTCTAAGAATTCAAAAAGATATTATTCGGAATACAGGAATGAAAAACAAAAGTTCAAATCTGTTGTTTAAAAAATATAATTAGTGCTGTATTTTAACAGAATTAGTTTTCTATTTCTGTAGTATCCTGAGACTTCTCAAAATGCTATTATAGTCTAAGGAAGTAATTTTGTTAAAATACAGAACTAATTATATTTTTAAATAACAACTATATACCTTTTTTTTTTTTTTTATTTTAAAACAGGTTATTAACTTCTCACAGATATTTTTCTAGTTCACCTTTAAAGTGAAATTTTGTACTCGTGATAGCATTTTCATTATCTTCAGTAGTTCAAGAAATAGGTGGATGATAAATCATATATGTTCATATGCTCTCTCTTCATTGACTTTCCTTCAGCTTAGGAGCATTCTTCAGTCTCCTCCACGCTACAGCACCTTCTTTTGATCTGAGTTAGAGTTACACTTCTAACTCACCTCTCATCTCCCTTTTTCATTTTATAGTCCATGTCTCTAAAAGAATAATCCATACTTGTTTTCTGTTTTATAAATTACCTTTTGCAAGTCAGTTTTGTCAGAGTTCTCAAAAAGGTCTACAGTAATCCTCTAATTTCAAAATTCAATGACCTCTTTCCAATCCTGATCACTTGGTACTATTGATCGTCATCCTCCTTGAAAGTTTTACTTCCCTTGGCTTTCTATGCGCCATTCTCTCCTTACTCTCTGACTACCTCTAACTCTTCTTTCTCTGTCTTTTTAATGTATTTCTCCTCTTGTTATTTCCCAGGTATTTTGTTCCCTATGTTCTATCTTTGGTTCTTTTCTCTTCTCATTTTATGTACACACATCCATATATAATGTGCATATATACACTTACATTATAAACAGTCGTAGACATATATATATTTTTTTTATTTTCTCCATGAATGTTCTCAATTCCTCTCTAGCTTTAATAACCAACCGTGTTTGAGTGTTTCTCGAGATTTATATGTCTAACCCATACCTCTCTCTCTATTCAATCCTACATGTCCGCCTAACTAGATATCTTATAGGCATCATAAAAATAAGATATTAAAGTAGTATTTATAAGCCATATGCCAGGAAATGTTTTAAATACTTTACATATGTTATCTCATATAAACTTCACAGCACTTCTATGAGGTAGTATTAGGTCATTAAATATGAAATGTCTGATTTCAAATCAAAAGTTTAGTTTATTATATCTCAAACAAGAAGCAGTACAATAAATCAAAGTATGCGCCTAAACTGTCAACACAACTTTGCCATTTTAGCTGTAGCTTGCTTATGCCAGCAGCAAAGAAGCCTGGAGAGTGAGAGGTGATGAAATTCTGAAAGGCATTTTTCACAGCTTATAGAGAATTGAATATTTTTCCTTATAAAAAGTGGTCCAAAGCCTTGAAGAAGTGGTAGTCAGTTGGTGCAAGGTCTGGTGAATATGGGAGATGATAGACAGTTTCCAAGTCCAGCTTCTGTAGTTTGAGCAGCATTGTTTTTTGCAGCAAGTGGTCTTGCAAGAGGATTGGCCTGTCTCTGTTGACCACTCTTGGCTGCTTAATCACAAGCATCCTCATCATTTCATCCAACTGGTTTCAGTAGACATCTGCTATAATCAATTGACCAGGTTTCATGAAGCTGTAGCGAATAATACCAGTGTTCGACCACCAAACAAACACCATTAGGTTTTTCTGATGAATATTCCATTTTGGACTCTGTTTTGGCACTTCATCTCTATCCAACCATTGTGCCAAACACTTGGAATTGTCAGAAGAATCCGTTTTCATCGCACGTAACAATATGGTGTAGAAATGCTTGTCCTTTATGTCATGACAACAAAGAAAGGCAAACTTTGAGATGATTTCTCTTCTGATGCTTGTTTAATTCATGCAATACCCATCCATCTGGCTTCATTACCCTGCCCATTTGTTTCAAATGGTCCAATATTGTTGGAATAGTAACGTCAAACCTTGCTGCTAATTCACACAGAGGTTGAGGTGGATTCGCTTCCACTACAGCTTTTAGCTCATCATTATCCACCTTGGTCTCCGGTCGCCCCCATGCCTCATTTTTAAGATTAAAATCACCAGAATTGAACTTCTCTAACCGTCAATGTACTCTGCGTTCATTAGCCACATCCTTCCCAAACACTTCGTTGATACTTCAAGCTGTCTGCGCTGCATTGGTTCCATGATGGAACTCATTAAAAAATAACATGAATTTTTGACTGATGGTTTTACAAAAATTTCTATTAAAAAAATTGAAAGATAATCACAAGCCAAAATATGCATTTGAAAGAATGAAGATGTACCTCCACAATAAAGTAAAAATAAACAAGAAGTATCAAAATGAAATATCAGAGATATCTACTGTCAAACTTAGTACTTAAGGAAATCAGACATTTCATTCTTAATAACCTAATAGTATCACCATTTTATAGATGAGCAAAGTGAAGCTCATAGAGGTTAAATAACTTTCCTAGGGTCACAGTGTGTGAATAGAAGGCAAAGAAAGCCCAGATTAGACACCAGGAGTGTGGCTCTAGCACATATTCTTTAACTACCGTACTGTATCTCCTCTTACATTAAAACTGAGCTCATAATCTCTTCCCC